AGGCTCTGGGCTCGCCCTGCCCCGCCGTCTGCCAGTGCCCGGCGGCCGCGCCGCAGTGCGCCCCGGGCGTGGGGCTGGTGCCGGACGGCTGCGGCTGCTGCAAGGTCTGCGCCAAGCAGCTGAACGAGGACTGCAGCCGGGCGCAGCCCTGCGACCACACCAAGGGGCTGGAGTGCAACTTCGGCGCCAGCCCCGCCGCGCTGAAGGGCATCTGCAGAGGTAAGCGGCTCGCCCTCCGGCTCCCCCGGGAGACAAAAAAAACCCCAACAAAACCCGGTCCCCGAAGCGCCGGGGTTCAGTAACTTCGAGCCCATGTATGGTTATGCTTTGTTGTCGGTGGCTTGGCAGAAAGGCACATGACTTCAGCGGTCTGGAATGCGATTCAGTATGTCTGGGCTCCGCGAAACGCACATAAGGAAAAGTGATTCCTGACTAACTTATTGTTCGGGCCCCGCGTCTCCGGGGGGGGCTGGAGGGAGCTCCGCCGTAAATCGAGTTTAACAGACCCGCACGTACCTGTGCTTGAGCGAGCGATCCCAGCCGCTGACCCCCTCCTCTCCCTCCCTGTTGATCTCTGCAGCCCAGTCCGAGGGGAGACCGTGCGAATATAACTCCAAAATCTACCAGAACGGCGAAAGCTTCCAGCCGAACTGTAAACACCAGTGTACGTGCATAGATGGAGCTGTGGGCTGCATCCCGCTCTGCCCGCAAGAGCTCTCGCTTCCTAACCTGGGCTGCCCCAGCCCCAGGCTGGTCAAAGTCCCTGGGCAGTGCTGCGAAGAGTGGGTCTGCGACGAAAGCAAGGATGCGCTGGATGAGCTGGAAGGCTTCTTCAGCAAAGAGTTTGGTCTGGATGATTCCGAAGGCGAGCTAACCAGGAACAACGAGCTAATTGCCATTGTGAAGGGGGGCCTCAAGATGCTACCTGGTGAGTATGGGCTAGTCTGTGTGACAGTGACAGCGAAGGGGAGGAGGCGGGAGGATGGCTGTGCGACTCCTTAGACCCCGATGATGGAAAGAAAGGAAGGCAGCGAGAGGACACGGTTAGGCTAAGCCCTCCTTTTCTCTTCCAGTTTTTGGCTCTGAGCCACAAAGCCGAGCTTTTGAGAATCCCAAATGCATTGTGCAGACCACCTCCTGGTCCCAGTGCTCAAAGACGTGTGGAACTGGCATCTCCACGAGGGTTACCAATGACAATCCCGACTGCAAGCTCATCAAAGAGACCAGGATATGTGAAGTGAGGCCATGTGGCCAGCCTAGCTATGCCTCCCTAAAGGTAAATACAGACTCTTCTGGTGCTCCTCTTCTTTCCAGTCTGCTTCGGGTGGAGGGTAAAGGCTGGAGAAGAATCTCCTGCTAATGGTATTATTGCCTCTCCTTTTGCAGAAGGGAAAAAAATGTACCAAGACTAAGAAGTCCCCATCCCCAGTGAAGTTTACCTATGCCGGATGTTCCAGCGTGAAGAAGTACCGCCCCAAGTACTGTGGCTCCTGTGTGGATGGCAGGTGCTGCACGCCCCAGCAGACCAGGACTGTCAAGATCAGGTTCCGCTGCGATGATGGGGAAACCTTCACCAAGAGCGTCATGATGATCCAGTCCTGCCGATGCAACTACAACTGTCCGCATGCAAATGAAGCTTATCCCTACTACAGACTAGTCAATGACATTCACAAGTTTAGGGACTAAGTTGTGTTGGGGGTGGGATGCTAAACAGAATTTTGAAGTAACCAGCCATGGAGGAAGGACCTTTGATGGAAATGGTGCCTTGCCCATTTGAGGGCAACATTGAGATGTTCCAAGAGTGCACTGTGCAACTGGACACTAATGCAACAGAGATTTAAGCATACTTAAAGCTTCATAGTACTGGAGCAACTCTACTGCTTCTTTTTGGAGCACCTTATCTAATTATGTACTGTTTTCTGTTTGTAAGTGATCAGATAAATGTTTTGTTCCGGTTATGAAAACTTCTTTTCTGTCCTGTTCAATTTAACACTATGCTTCTCCCCTCTCCCTCCATCTTCTCCTACCCTTTCCCAACCAACTTGGAAGTTACATTCCTTCCTGAGGTGGGCACTTGTTGGGTGTTCACAGTGGCAGCTATTGTGTACCAACTGTAGTTTAATGGCAAACAGAAATCAGTTGTTTTAAAGCTGAGTATTTTATTTATCAAACTGTAGCTTTTTTTGTTTTTTCCTTGAGTTTGTTTTGTTTTGTTTTACCCCTTCCAGCCCCTGTAATACTGGAATAAGTTGTAAATGATTTTAATTTTATATTCAATGAATTGAAAGAATTTATTTATGGAATTAATCATTTAATAAAGAAATATTTACCTAGCTACTCTTAGTAGAGCATTCTGATAGGCAACAGACTTATATCCAGCAAATGCAAGAGCTTTCTGTGAAAACTTTTGACTTATGAAAAGCTTAGATTCTCTGAAAATTAAAACAAGCTCTACTACAGCTGCAGCAATGAACTAAAAAGCTGAGTCTAATTCTTCGGGTAAATGACGTTTCTTAAGTGGTTGGTGTATGCAGTCTGCAACCCCATGCTCTAGAAAGTGTTTACAGAAGAAGCTTCTCGGCATTGAAAGCAAATGTTTGATAGAGAGACTGAAATGTTAATTAGACTGTCAGATTACTCAAACTGTCCTGGAATTTGCAACATAAGGGACTTCATTAGAATGCAGTGCATGCACGGTGATGTTGAACATTGGGGTGGAAGTGGTCGTCAGGTCTCGCATTTTTTTGGTGGCTGCTTTTTGCAAATTAATACATTTCTGTGGCAGAAGAATGTTTCCTACAGTCTGCAGGAGGTAGTTTGCTTTCACTAAATTCAAATTAAATGAGCTTGAAGCAATGACTTTTGTTAATCCTAATAACCCAGTGATGAAAAGTAAACATACTGTTAACAGGAGAAGAATGTGAGGAATTTCAAGTACTTCTCCAACAGAGTAAAAAGCAAAGCAGCTACTCTTCCTCACCTCCCCTTCCCACTTTTTAAATATGTAATTACACTTTATACTGTGGGACACAGATGACATTTGGCTAACCGAGGGAGTCGTAAGATAGCTAGCTGGCATGCGGTAGGAAAATGACATTTAAAAAAATGGACTAGACTAGGGTCTGAGAAAGCAGCATCAAACATTTGTATTATTCTGGCCAGCATAAAGCTGTGCTGTGGACAAGACCGAAAGGAAACCTGCAACAGCGTTGGGTTTTTTTCCCCTCCTCCTTGTGACTGGTTGGTTCTCTGGCAAAATATCCTCCCATAGTCTTTAGTAAGAAAGCTACTTCTCATAAAAAACAGAAACTGATTTTGAGGTTTTAGAATTGTGAAGGGCTGTCATCCAGTGTCAGATGCAGAAGTGGTTAAGAGCCAACTTTTTATTAGATTAGACATAAATATTTCAATAAAATAAATGGCCAAATATCTCAGAAGCTTATCTCTGGCAGCTAATGCTTTGCCTGAGAAATTACAGCCATCTCTCTTCTGCTCAGTCAAGTTCTTTCCCCGAAGGCATTCAAAACTTGAGCTGTTTTGGAATTCACCACCTGGCCACCAGCCTCAGCTGTACCTAAACTTGTCTGTACAGTATTTGTTGACAGTAAAAGTGTAAAATGTGGTGAAGCGCTTTTGTTTGGCTTCTACGTACATTTAGCACTGAACACTTCACTACATCAGCTGCTCACTGAGAAATCATCAGGTTTACCCGTCAGGTTATTGCGTGGAGAGAGGAAGAGGAATACACTGCTCACAGACACACAGCAGCTGCATGCGCATTCCTCGCCATCCCCACTGTCAGTTATACTTGAGTGACACCCATCCTCAAACCAACGTAAGTAACAGTTCCTCGAAAAATTACATATACATGTGACTATGCTATGTGTGTAGACTCTACGTCTGTAATGTCCACACCGCATACAAACCGAAGTGGCTCTTCCAACTCCTGCCTAAAGTGGGGCTCTAGCCAGGCCCTGGATTTTACAACCCGCACTTTGGGCTTTCCATGTTTCATCGAGTAGAGGGATGGTTCTGTAATCTGCTCACTAGAAAAATGTGCTGTTGGGAGAGCAAGGGCTGCAGGAGCACATCAAGCAAACATAAGAGTAAAATATACTAAATGAAATTATCCCGCTGTGAAGAGGGGGAATGAGCCCCACTAAAACGAACCGCAAGTCTTCCAGAGCTGGGATCTCACACCAACTGATCGTCGCCCATACAGTCCTCTCTCCACGTTTTTGCATTCCACAATTACGTGGCAAAACTACTAAACCCCACAATTCCCAATACTGTAAGAGCAATCACCGTCATTTTCTGTCCATCACCTTTGCGCTCGCTTTGAAATCTCTATATCCTCTGTTGTCCCCGCAGAAAGAACCCTAAATACTAGGCACGAAAATACAACTGATAAAAGCGTGGGTTCCTTGAAGTGCAGTCAGCAGGGCTTACAGGTAAGGTCAACGAGCGCGACTGTAATCTTATTTCTTGGCCAAGCCCTCCAACGTCGGCGTCCGTCTTCAAGAAGACCACGGGAAGATGAGGAGTTAGGACCGGAGTAAACAACGGAGGTGACAAGCGGCAGCAGGTTTTCAGCGCGTTCCAACGCCGGGCCCCCAGAGCGTTCAGACCCTGCCCACAAAGCCGCCCGCGCCGCGGGGAGCTCCCCCGCGCCGGCCGGACAGCGGGGCAGCCCCGGCCACGCCAGAGGGCCG